AACTCGGAAATATTGAGACGGTGTATTTGGTGTTGAGGGAATTTTATTCTATTTGAAAGTCAATTTGCCTGTTTATGTGTTGTTGTTGTTGTTGTTTTTCTTTCCAATTAATAGTTATGGTTTAGCTAGTTCTGAATTTGTAATTTGATTTCGATATTAACAATATAAGGTGAATTGTAATGGTGGTACTCTTTATTTCTCCTGCCTCCTGAGTTTCTAAAATCCAATGTGGTTTAAAACCAATAAGTTCGTAATATCAAAGAGTAAAGTGAACTCTATGACAGTTTTCAAGTTTTCTAATACTATAATTTCAAACGATTTACTAAACATCATATTACAAGGTAAATATTGCATTACAAAGTAAATTATTCCTCTCTATGTACCTATTGCAAAACATTTCAGAATAATACAGCGTTTGTACGTAAACTGATGTCTAGACCAGATTGCTTTGTTCGCAATTTCAGTCAGGTACTTACGCTGCGAACATTTCTGAATGCACTCAAATAACGGCTTAAATCTTACTTCATTTTGCTTATTAGTTCAATTTGTTAAATATTTAATTTTGATTAAATCTATAGACAAGTACGATGATGTACAACATTAACTATATATATACATATATATACCTAATTAAATTAAGTATAACTACTTATGAATTTGTTAATGTTTGTTGCTTAGAAGAGCCAAAACAGCTGGACAGATTTGTATGAAATTCTATAAGAATATTACTCTAATTTTGTAATAATCATGTAGCAGACTTCACGTTTAAAATTAATCGTACAGACGAATCGTATTTATACGAATGTATCATCAAAATAGTATAAGTATTCAAGCAAGTTGTACTTATGGTATCAACCTAATGCTAAAGTAAAAGTGTTTTATACTAACATAAAAAACACAAAAAGACAGCTGTCCAATCGTTTCATCCCTCAAAACCTCGTAAAGACCACCTTATGCAATTCAAATCCTTAGGAAACCTAGTCTATTACACCATATTTTAACCCTTTCCGATAATCTCTATATAACATTACTCAGAATTCTCCATTTATAAGCGTTCGTAGAAAAATATTCCGGTCTAAAAACGTTGGTCCGCCAAGGAGACCGTCATTATTTTGCGGTGTAATAAAAATGCCATCGGGGGATGCTCGATATTTTTTATAATGCCGTATAGGGGTGGCCTTGTTCGCTACCTGTGGCTATGAGTATGTGGTACAGAGAATACGCTGTACTGGTTTATGATTGGAAATATTTTAGGTTAACCGGTCACAGTTTACTTTCTATAACTTAGCCGTCAAAACATGACTTTTTGGTACCCACATAGTGAAGTGGTCATAACAAACTCTAAATGCAATTTTTAGTGTACCATCGAATGCTTAATTTTTGTTGGTGACCACTAGACCATGAGTAAGAAGTTAGAAGCGATTTAAATCAATAAGTTAGGACTCTGTTCAATGCCTTCTCATGATTCTGTCGTTCGTGACTTTGTACGGGACGGAAAAATGGTTGAAATTAAACAAATAGTTTGTAGTTCGACTGTATACCTATGTATTATACTTACAAGCAGCCTTGGATTTTTATGACTGTGTTCAGCATACCGCGACCAATTTAATTGGTAGATTATAAAGTTCGCACGATCATAACATTGTTTTCTTTATTACATAAGATGTTTCTCAAGCAAGAAAACCTGGTGATAACACTACAATTTTAGAAGAAAAATTCGCATTTTTTTTATTTTTTATTTTTTTTTTTTAAATAAGTATAAAAAAACACACAATTACACATACCAAAATAACATTTATGTAAATTTTTGTCTGTCTGTATCTGTATGACTATACTGACTAATCCCTGAAATGGCTGGACCGATTTTGCAAGACTTGTATTGGCAGGTAGCTGATAGACTAAGGAGGAACATAGGCTATTTTTATTTCGGAAATTTTAAACAAAAAACCGTTATGTTCTAAAATTCATATTCTATCCGGACGAAGTCGCGAGCAACGGCTAGTCTATTAAATAAATATTATGTCAATCAAGTGACTTAAAACTTAATGATAAAAAGAAAACAAATATTGGTAGTTACAATTTAAAAGTCGTAACAGACACCTGTTTCTAAAGACCCTAAAATATTAATCAATCGTCTGCCCTCTAAAGTTTGTGAGACTGAAGAATTTTTAAATTGATTTCTAATAACAAGTTTCTTAACCAAATTGTAAATAAAATGACATAATATAAAATATTGTTTTCTGCTACAAATGTATTTGCGACTACGTTACACAAGACGTTTGACAAACTAACATAAAGTAGACACACTACCAATAATATGACTGCATGGTTGGCGCGATGGTTGGGCAACGTGTCACCGGTTCGATTTCCGCACGGAACAATTCTTTGAGTTATCCACAGATTGTTGTTGCAGGTCTGAGTGTGTGAACTTGTATGTTTGTAAACGCACCCACGACACAGGTATCCACGACATAGGACAAGTATCCTGAAATGGGGCAACATTTTTAAAAAAGAAAAACAGAAAAAATAAAAGACTTATCCCAACACTTGAATCTATGATCCATCGTTCGGCAGTAACACTTCAAATTACACAATCCCCGAAGCAAACTCATAACAACTCAATCACGACACCAAACACCTCAATGTTTACCGAACAAGAAAAGCTAACATTTACAAGAAGGAGAGTTTTGCCGTAACTTATAAAGAGAAACAATAAATGCTAATTTTATAACATACAGCAACTTTGTATACCGCAGCCTTGTCGACAACACTCTGTAGATATAGGAAGTTTTGCAACATCCTTATGTTACTCAGCGAGGAAGTTCACAACATGTTTACTAAAATTTCCGTACCTACAGTTTTCAGCGGTTCAGTCTGAAATTGAGCTTTAACGAAAATTTTTTGACAACCGACTTAAGATTCCGACAATGATTTGCTATGAATATTTCTTTAAAAACTAGTTCAAGTTAAATAAGAGTAAACCGAGTATTTCAAAATCTATATGCAAAACCTCTTTCAGCACAACAAAATTCTAAACATTTAATTAAAAAAACCTAAAAAACCCGGTCCACCCAATCTACAAAATCAAATTGAAAATAAACACATACATAGATCGTTCTGGCTAACCAGGAAACCTCTATATTTTTTTCACAATACGACCCAAGTCAACAAAATGATAATTCTAATAAATCGCACGGTGGAATGAGAATGGCCGACATCGCTTTAATAAAATGGAAGACGGTCACGACCTGTCGTCAAGCAAATGGCGAATATAAGCCAGTACAAGTAAATCCTCGTTTTAAAAGGCTGATGGTAAGCCGGCCTCTGGTCAGCCAATGTTATGGTTTCACCGAAAATAGGAAATAATGTCCATACAGAATTTTGCTTCTATTTTTATTTTTGTGGTTAGGTGTGTAAGCGGATTAAATGTAGGGTAATGTTAAAAAGGTTAGCAATTTTCCGGATACCAGATATATTTTTGGTAGGTGTCTCTTTTTATGATGGTTATTTTTAAACGTGTTTCGGTTAATTATTTGGGTGTCTACGACTATTCAGGTACCTACCACTCAACAGTTAAATTATTATCAAAAAAAAGTTGTTTCCAATGTTTGGTGTAATAGGACTCAGTAACAAATACAATATTTAGACAACATAAATACCTCGCTGCCTCGCTGCGCTGGCCGAGTGGTCGCAAGTGCGACTGCCGGGCAAGGCGTCTCGGGTTAGATTGCCGGGTCGGGCAAAATATTACTGGGTTTTAAAAAACAAAAACTCAGTAGTAGCACGGTGTCTGAAAATGTGCCCGGTATATGGCAATAGGCTTACCCCTATTACATGGGACTCATAACATAAATAGTGAAAAGTGGGTGGTACTTCTGTGTGCACCTCTGCCTTTCTTTCGGGGATAAAAGGCGTGATTTTATGTTATGTATAAATACCATTATGTATGTGTAGTTTACAATTATTCAGTCACTTACAACAAAAAAAATATTGGCTTTTAATAGAAGTGCCAGAAATCTGTCAGTAAAAGGATATGTTTTTTTTTCTGGATTATTATCAGTAATGTTGTAATCGATAAATGCTACTTCAGTTTTAGACTAAATGCCATTATCACTGATAATTGTTGAGATAACAGTTCTGATAAACATAAAATTATATTGTGATATAAAACAGCTGTACAAGTGCTTGGCATCCAGTTTATAATTACATTTACTGACCGTGAAGCGTGTATTCATAATGAGTTTCCAAGACAAAGTAGTGATTGTGACCGGCGCCAGTTCTGGCATTGGAGCAGCAACAGCCATCAAATTTGCAGAAGAAGGAGCTAAAGTAGCCTTAGTGGGCAGAAACCAAGAAAAACTGAACAATGTCGCGAAAAAATGCGGTAATCCTGTAATAATCATTGCTGACGTGTCCAAAGATGATGACGCCAAAAGAGTTATCGAAGATACCTTAAGATATTTAGGAAAGATCGATATTTTGGTGAACAATGCTGGTATAGCTACACCAGTCAGCATTCTGTCTGAGCATGCAATTAAAATATTTGATCAAGTAATGTCTACAAACCTGCACGGGCCTGTCTACTTGACACATCTTGCTGCACCCCATCTTGTGAAAACTAAAGGAAACATCGTGAACGTCTCAAGTGTTGCTTCTTCTGTTATTCTGGCTAAGGACTTCTTTGCGTACAGCGCATCGAAGGCTGCACTCGATCACTTCAGCAGAGCTGTTGCCCTTGAACTAGCCACAAGCGGTGTTCGCGTGAACGTGGTCAATCCAGGACCTGTTCGAACGGATATAGTAGAAAACATGGGGGCAACGAAGGAAGTCGCCGATGCCACTTACAGCCAAATGCACAACATAACTCCACTTAATAGAATTTCGGAACCTGAGGAAGTAGCCGATCTAATTATGTATTTAGCCAGTGACAAAGCTCAGGCCATGACTGGAACAACAGTTGTAACTGACAATGGAATGATCTTGAAGAGTAATATCGTACCTCCACAAGAATAACTGTCTAAGGACCTATTTTACAATATCTGGATAACCGTTATCTACGTACCACATAAAGAATTAAGAACGTAACGTAGTTTTTATGTTGTGAAGCAGGCGCTGAATGTATACCTTCTTCATTTTACTTTCCTTTTTAAAATATGTATTCTTCACAAATAACCCACTATGGACGTAATTATGTATTAAGTGAATATTGTAATTAAATAATGTTTTGCATATAAATAAAATAATTTTAACATGTTCGTTAATCGTATTATTTCATGAACTCTTTTAAAGAAATGTACCTACTTTTTTGACATGAAAGTTGAAATGGCTATGCTATCAGTTGCAGTCCTATGCAATACCCTTTGCTCGGCGGTGACGCCGCTAATCACTAGACTGGACCGAAGAGGGTAAACAATGCTTCCTAATACTTGCGTAACTTTTTAAATTACTTGTACACAGGCTAACAAACTCACAGGACACAGTAAATGACATATATGTACCTAGATCTCTCTCAGACAAACGTAGCTAGACTGTAAGTAAGTAGCTGACACAAGTACAGGTGGAACATACCATCAACCGAGAATTAATCTTATACTCCGGCTCGACGTGCAGGAGAAGGAACGGGGTGGTTTTTAGTCAGTAAGAGTCTGACACTCCCTCCCGCCTCACCCAAGCGGTAGTAGTGATTCGATGATGTTCCCCCCTTAAAAAATATAGTCTTATATTAGAGGTACTATAACTTATACCTTATTACCTATCCTATAATCTATACTTATAATAAAACTGTAGAAATATAAATGCTGTACATTGAAAATATTGAAATATAAATAGTAGAAATTAAATAGTTACTAGATAGTTATTATTAGTAATGTGTTTGTCTGTCTGTTTGTCTGTATGTTCATACATCACGCAAAAACTACTGGATCGATTACAATGAAACTTTGTATGATTATACTTTGTTACTTTAGGCACAATACTGGGTACATTCTATTCCGAAAGAGTATATACAGAAAATAACAAACTTAATTGTGCGGTTCAATCCATAGACAAAGTTACTGTACCAAATGCAAAAATAAGTTTGTCGAATATTAGATTGCCCACAGTGGACTTCACGCTGTAACTGTGGGGCCAATGGTTAGCTTTAACCGTCGGCCTCATCGTTCGCTGCATAAAATTGACGTATAACAATGCTGCCTTGTAGCCTATTTGCAGAAATAAATTTACTTGTTTCCCTTGTTTCACTTGTTTCACTTGTTTCACTTGTTTCACTTGTTTCTCTTGTTCGACTTGTTTCACTTGTTTCACTTATTTCGCTTGTTTCGCTTGTTTCACGTGTTTCACTTGTTTCACATGTTTCACTTGTTTCGCTTGTTTTGCTTGTTTCGCTTGTTTCGCTTGTTTCACTTGTTCCACTTGTTTCACTTGTTTCACTTGTTCCACTTGTTACACTTGTTTCAATTGTTTCATTTGTTTCAGTTGTTTCATTTGTTTCACTTGTTTCACTTGATTCACTTGTTTCACTAACCGATATTATAAATGTGAAAATATGTGAATTTGTATATTTGGGTGTATGTTTGTTACTCTGACTGAGTCATATAGAGGTACATCAAAACAGCTGAAGAGGCCAAGACGAAACGTAGAACAGAGCTAGGCTAGATCTGGTGGTCATGATAAGATATGATGGTCTGGTATGGTCAGTAAGACATAGGCTACTTTTTACTACTGGGAACGCAGGCGAAGCCGCTGGCAGCAGCTAGTATTTGTAGATAAAGAAGAACTTGTTTGTTTGAACGTGGATAAACTCCGGAACTACTGGATCGATTTGAAAAATCCTTTTTGAGTTGGATAGTGCATTTATTGAGAAAGGCTGTAAGCTATAAAACATCACGCTACAACCAATAGGAGCCAATTTTTTTATGCGGTACGAAGTTTGCCAGTAACAAAACGGGGCGCGTAAGGGAACGAACCTCCTTACGTCTCTGGCCGTCGGGAATCGCTAGACAATCTCCGGCTACCGTAAGCACGAGCCCGCGGACGGTGAGCACGGGTGACACGCCGCCCGACTACAGCAGGGTGCCATCTGAAAATCAGCGTTGGGCATGTACGCTCAACTGAATGCTGCTGAGATGCCAGATGGAGGCCCTTTTGCCAAGGGCACGCGTCGGCAAACGTTATTTATTTATTTTTATCTTGTTTTTATTAATTTTTAATTAATGTGTTATTATTGTATTGTCATTATGTTGTTATACTTTGTCGTTCTTTGTTTTTTTTCTATATCTATATAAATATGTGTATTAATTTATTCTTTTCTTTTTTTAATTTTGTATTTTTTTGTATCTGTGTGCGTGCCTACTGTCGAATAAATGTTTTTTCTTTCTTCCGAGCGGACGGGGCGTAGAATTCCGCGCACGACTCCACCACCACGGATGGGGCCCAATTGGGCTGATGCCGATACGGAGCCGTGGAGGACTTAACGAGTTTTCGGGGCTCTGGGTCGAAGTGCAGGAGTAGGAACGGGGTGGTTTTTAACCAATAAGATTCTGACACTTCCTCTCCTGGATGATTTTCTCCCTTCAAAAAAAAAGTAATAAACAAATATAATTAAAATTCTACACTTATATAACACAGCTTGGCATTTGTTACTAACCGAGATTAGATGGTGTTATCGGTGTACCAAATTGTAAGGCAATAATTATATTAAAGCAAGATATTTATAACGTTTATACAACAATTGGTCATACAGTATACGCAGCATATTTTTTTGCGTCAGGTTCAGTTTGAACCTATAACACCACGCCTTTTACCGATAGGTAGGCAGAGATGCATACTATGGACAATGGCCATTATTTACTGGCACTGTATAATGTAACACCCACTTTTCCAGACTAGATTTTTTTTTAAAAACCCAGTAATATTTTATTTTTGGATGTAATTTAAGTCATGCTAACTAGAGTTGTCAACATAATATTATTTTGTATTTTTGTAACTGAATTAAATTTTTTTCTGCCACCGACGGAGGGTGCAAATGGACAGAAAAATGATTTATTATTTTTGTTCACCAGTGGGTCTATTGATATATAACGCTGCTACAATCGTACGAGTTTCAGTGTTATTTTGAATAACAACTCACATTCCAAACCAATATTTGCTATTCATATCTTATATATTAAGTACCTAGTCATAATGACAATTACTTATTGATAGACATGATTAGATTAGATTACCAGTATAAATTACGTGAGACGAATTGAGATATTCACATAAACATTTACAGTCGTTGTGTGACCATGAGTTTCCAAGATAAAGTAGTAATTGTGACCGGCGCCAGTTCCGGCATTGGAGCAGCCACTGCCATCAAATTTGCAGAAGAAGGAGCTAAGGTAGCCTTAGTAGGCAGGAACCAAGAAAAACTCAACAACGTCGCGAAGAAATGCGGTAACCCGTTAATTATCGCTGCTGACGTATCGAAAGATGAAGACGCAAAAAGAGTTATTGAAGAAACCTTGAGATATTTTGGAGGGATCGATGTTTTGGTAAACAATGCTGGTATAGTAAGTAGAACAAACATTCAAGATAACGGTGTTATACCAGTTTATGATCGAATAATGTCTACAAACCTACGAGCAGTAGTTGTCCTCACTCACCTCGCTGCTCCACATCTAGTAAAAACAAAAGGTAACATTGTGAATATATCAAGTGTTGCTGGGTATCGCATATTTCAAGAAAGTTTTGCATATTGCACGTCAAAGGCTGGACTAGATCACTTCACTAGAGCTGTAGCACTTGAACTAGCCCCACACGGTGTTCGCGTCAACGTGATCAACCCCGGACCCGTTAAAACAGATATTATTGAAAACATGGGAGCAACAAAGGAAATAGCAGAAGCAACTTTCGATCGTATGGGGAAAATGACTGCACTCTCAAGAGTTTCAGAGTCTGACGAGGTAGCCGATCTGATTTTGTTTATAGCCAGTGACAAATCTAAGGCTATCACAGGATCATCAATAGTGACTGACAATGGAACGATGTTGAAAAGTAATGACATGTCCCCGTTAGATATATAAGCGTTCAAAAGTCAAAGACGCTCTATGAATAATATTATTATGAATAAACTTTCCATTTCAAACTCTTAAAAATGTTTAATTGCTCAAATTTTTAGACCACGACTAGCCGCAATAATTATCAAAGTGGTTGTTACATATGAATAAGGTTATCATATAGATAGCTCGAGGGTAGAGTTCAACACCTTGCATGGCTGAAATGGCGACTGGAATTACATAATATCTAGGAAAACAGTCACTTTTGTCTGTCTGGATAGCAGCTATGTATTAGGTAAATAATGAAGATCGTAATTTGTATGTTATGAAGCAGATGGTAAATGCGTATTGTATTGTATTTTTCTATGTCAAATATGTATGTATTTTCGACAAATAACCCACTGTGGACGGAATTATAAATTGAGTGAACATTATATATAAATAATATTTTGTATACAAATAAAAATGTTTTTTGAACATGTTCGCTTATCATATTATTTCATAAACTTTTATAAAGAAATATATCTACTTGAAAGTCGAAATGCCAATCCTATCAGTGCAAACTGATAGGATATATATATATATATACTGTCTTGTGCCATATGGCAATAGGCAATATATGGCAATAGGCTCACCATCTATTATATGGGACTCATAAAATAAATAGTGAAAAGTCGGTGTTCAATTGGACAATGGCATGAAGTGCCGTAATATGTACATGCCTACCCCTTCGGGAATAAAAGGCGTGATATTATGTTTGTTTGTTATTAAAATGATTATTATTATTTAATTATTTATTATCACCATTTATTCCTAAAAATGATCCCTGATCTTGATGAAGCTAAATACTATTATTAGTCCCCGAAAACAGTTTTGGCCGTCGAAGCTTTAAACAATATAAGGAGAGCTTTAGTAGCTAGTTTATCACACATCGGGTTATGTTTTCATAATTTTTACACAGTCCTCTTTTATCTTATTGAGTATAGCCTACTATGGTCCGGTAGTTTCGGAGACTATTCAGTTCAAACAAACAAACAAAAAATAAAATCTTTACTCTTTATGATAATAGTGTAGACAGCTATTTTTTATGAACCAAATCACATCGCACGTCGAACAAAAATGATTCATCATTTTGTTAACTAGTAACCACTGGTCCATTGCAGGTTTTAAAGGCACTGCCAGAATCGTACGAGTTTCGTTGCTCTTTTAAATAAAAGCCCATATTCCAAACCAGTATTTGCTATTAATATTTTATAAAGTAAGTTATCATAATGATAATAAGTTAATAATAGATATGATTAGATTAGATTACCCGTATAAATTACTTGAAACGAATTGAGACATTCAAATAAACGTTTACAGTCGTTGTGTGATCATGAGTTTCCAAGATAAAGTAGTAATTGTGACCGGCGCCAGTTCCGGCATTGGAGCGGCCACTGCCATCAAATTTGCAGAAGAAGGAGCTAAAGTAGCCTTAGTAGGCAGGAACCAAGAAAAACTCAACAATGTCGCGAAGAAATGCGGTAACCCCTTAATTATCGCTGCTGACGTATCGAAAGATGAAGACGCCAACAGAGTTATTGAAGAAACTTTAAGATATTTTGGAGGGATCGATGTTTTGGTAAACAACGCAGGTATAGGAAGTAGAACAAACATTCAAGATACCGGTGTTATATCAGTTTATGATCGAATAATGTCTACAAACCTACGAGCAGTAGTTGTCCTGACTCACCTCGCTGCTCCACATATAATAAAAACAAAAGGTAACATTGTGAATATATCAAGTGTCGCTGGGTATCGCGTATTTCAAGACAATTTCGCATACTGCACGTCAAAGGCTGGACTAGATCACTTCACTAGAGCTGTGGCACTTGAACTAGCTCCACACGGTGTTCGAGTCAACGTGATCAATCCCGGACCCGTAAAAACAGATATTATTGAAAACATGGGAGCAACGAAAGAAATAGCAGAAGCAACTTTCAATCGCATGGAAAAAATTACTGCTCTCTCAAGAGTATCTGATTCTGAGGAGGTAGCCGATCTGATTTTGTTTATTGCCAGTGACAAATCTAAGGCAATCACAGGATCATCTATTGTAACAGACAATGGAACGATGTTGAAAACTAATGACATGTCCCCCCTTGATTAATATTATTATGAATAAACCTTCCATATGAATAATTCACTTGTTTTGTTTCACTTGTTTCACTTGATAGCTGAGGTTAGTGTTGAACATCTTGCACGGCTACAAATGGTGACTGAAATCACAAAATATCTAGAAAGTATTGTCGATTTCGAAGTCGCACATGTCAATGTTGCGCAGCAATCACCATTATGAAAACCATGTTACTTTCTTGTAGTTCCAATTTAGTTGGGAAATCTTCAAGAACTATGATTAATATTCCGGCAACAGTGGATTTTATTGTATTGAGACATTGTTGTAGATATTATCTAATTGAAAAAGAAAAAAATAATAATGTTTTTTTTTCAGGTTGACAGGATTGCGATAGGTGATTCTTCAACACAACCCTTAGTTTAGGTTTTAGAAACAGGTGGAACCCTGGAAACTTCCTGGAAAATTCAGTGCGAATTTCGAACATAACATAACACCATGAGTTTCTAAGAAAAAGGATGTTATATTATTCACTAGTGCCAGTTATGGCATTGGAGCAGCCACTGCTATCAAATTTGCAGAAGAGGAAGCTGAAGTAGTAGGCAGGAACCAAGAAAGACTCAACAACGTCGCAATGAAATGCAGTAATCAGTTTATTATCGTTGTCGATATTACTAAAGAATGATAAATGATGAAGACGCTAAAATACTTATTAAAGAGACCGTAAGATATTTTTTAAAGATAGATATTTTAGTAAACATTGCTGGGCCAGAATATAGAACAAATATTCAAGATAAAAGCTACATTCAAATTTTTGATCGAATAATATCTAAAAACCTACCCGCAATGGTTGTGTTGACCCACCTCGCTGTACCACATTTGGTGAAAACAAAAGGTGATATTGTGAACATTTCAAGCGTCGCTGCTTATCGAGTTATAATTCCCGAAAGTTTCGCATACTGTGCATCAAAGGCAGGGTTAGATCACTTTAGTTCATCAGGCCCTTGAGCACTTATCCAACCCCACATATTCACTATTCACAAAGTACAAATATTCCCGGGCAAAACGTAACCTCTCTTTATGCCGTTGCGTTACAAACTGTTTTTAGCTGGCATTCGGAGTCTGTAGCGAACGGTGCGTGGTGAACTGGTGATAATCCGAACTCATCAGCAAAATGCCTTGTTGGGATGAAACCTTTCGTCTCAAATTTAGTTAACATATAACGTCGCCGAGGAAGGCTATAAGCGGTGGTTTTCCACTACTATCACGACTCTTCAGACTATCTTGTTCCTGAAATCTCTTAACCCATCGTCTAGTAGTCTCTCTTTAAAAATAAACATATAAATATTACTTAATTGCAGCAAGCAATTTCTTCTTATTATTTTGTAGGTATCATCACATCATAAAGTTAAAAAAAACGACTTACGCATAAGCCGGTTTCATTCGATATTTGAGATATATTACGACCATTTAAACATAGGGACACAATATTTGCCTTGATTTCAATAATAGTATTAGCTGCATAATAAATACAAAAGAATAAAATCACAACAACTAGATAACACAAACACTCGTAGTAACTAAGAACTAAGTTCACCAATCAACAACAGCGAATAACGGAATAATTTATGTGATTAGAAAAGTAGTTAAATATGAGGGTGGATTTAAAGTGAACTTGTCACTTTGTTTCAAATGTACCCTCATATTTTGATAACGACGCTAAGATTAAAAATATGAAAGGTCATAAGCGCCACTAATATTGCTATGCAAAAGTGTTTTGACACTAGAAGTCCACTTCTGTCTCTGAGTGCACATTGGCATAAAATGCCGTAATGTGCACCTCTGCTTATTCGTTTGGGGACAAAAGGCGTGATTTTATATACAATGATTATAGTATCAGCTACAATTTTAAAAATGAAGACTAAGAATGACGAATCGTTTTTATTATAAGATTAGATAAGTTGTCAGATAAGATAACTCACTTGTATAAATTACATGAAACAAGTGATAACATTAATAGTTCGAATTTTACAATAACTATAAACTTGTTACACAATGAGTTTCCAAGACAAAGTAGTAATTGTGACCGGCGCCAGTTCTGGTATTGGAGCGGCCACTGCTATCAAATTTGCAGAAGAAGGAGCTAAAGTAGCCTTAGTGGGCAGAAATCAGGAAAAACTTAACAACGTCGCAAAGAAATGCGGAAATCCCTTAATCATCGCTGCTGACGTATCAAAAGATGAAGACGCCAAAAGAATCATTGAAGAAACCATAAAACGTTTTGGGAAGATTGATGTTTTGGTAAACAACGCTGGTATAGGAGGTGTTACCAACATACTAGATGAAGGTGTTATCAAAGTTTTTGATCAAATAATGAATACAAATCTACGCTCAGCTGTTGTTTTGACTCACCTCGCTGTCAAAACAAAAGGTAACATTGTGAATATATCAAGCGTTGCTGCATACCGAGTGGCTCCTAGTTTTATTGCGTACAACACATCAAAGGCTGGAATGGATCACTTCACCAGAGCTGTAGCACTTGAATTAGCCCCACACGGCGTTCGTGTCAACGTGATCAATCCAGGACCCGTGAAAACAGATATTATAGAAAATATGGGAGCAACTAAGGAAGCGGCAGACGCAGCTTTTGATAATATGCTGAAGGCAACTGCTCTTTCAAGAGTTTCGGATTCTGACGAGATAGCTGATTTAGTTTTGTTTATAGCCAGTGACAAATCAAAAGCTATCACAGGATCATCTATAGTAACTGATAACGGAGTTATGTTGAAAATGTGATTCGACTTCACTCGGTTCCACAAGACTGTACCAAATAGTACTTTTAAATAACCTTTTTAGTAATAAGTGTTAAGAAATTGAATCCGGGATTGAATCTTTATCTGTTAACTGATGTGAAATTTTTAATCAGTAACTAATTTATGTTACAAATGTTTAGTGTACTTTCCGTGGCAATTGTAAATAAATAAATTTTAAGCGTGTGTACACTGATTTTATTAATGGTTGACAGCTGAGTCATGTTAGTTTAGAGTGGATGTTGTTAACTTACATTATACTTAATAGGAAAAACTTTAATAACTTCTATATTTATAAAACACTAGCTACTGCCCGCGAATTCATAGGCTCAGTCCTGTTTTCCTGTAAGATTTTTAGGATTTTTTTCTGTCGTAAAAACCTCCTCCTGACAATAACAAACACTCCAAAAAAAGATCAGCCAAATCGATCTAGTTGTTCTAAAGCTAGGGCGTGCCAATTTTTTTTTTAACAAATTTATTCATTGAAATTTTACATACGTATTGCCTTAAATCTAAACTCGCCAAACTTTAACGTTTGATGGCGAGAGACGCTCATTTTACTAACTATTTCTATAAATTATTATCATAATATGATGGGAGTCTTTTTTTTTTCTTAACATATATGTAGGTACACTATAACCCAAGCAGGACATAGCAAGTATGTGTTATACCACTTGCATTGCTTATATTTAATAGAAAAAAAAAACAATACTGACACAATAACAAACTCTTTTACTAAAAACACTAAGTAATTTAAAAAAGAAAATATATATGAAAATCAAAAATTCCAAACAAAATCCCTAGTCTACCTCCAATATAATTCTTTTTAATTTTGACTTTATAAGTCCCTTACTATATTTTTTTCCATCTTCGGGGATCAATTGGAAACGGGTTTCATTTTTAGATATATAGATTTATTTCAAGCCATGAAAATATTCAAATGTGAATAAAGGTTGAGTAATAATTTTGGCCTACAATTATGTTATTGGTTAGCAATAATTCTTTTATAAACGAGGTTTTCAAACCACATCATATTCCCTTGTAATAAAGGGGTGAACCTATTGCCATGTTGTTAATATATTATATGTCATTATG